TCGCCGCCGGCGTCGCGCCGCTCTTTGAGCTCCTCCCCGCCGCCGTCGGAGGGGGAGCCGCTGCGTGGCCAGAGAGCTTTCGGAGCTCCGCGCGGATTGGTCTCGGGAGCTCGGCGTCGGGCCTTGGACCCCCCCTTGGCGGTGCCTGCGACGCCTGCCCTGGCGCGCGTCCAGCGCCGATGCCAAGAGATCCTCGCGGGGCGCCGGAAGGATGCTGTCTGTGCAGTTTTTTTCTGCTTCTGCTTCGTCCTCCTCCTCTCTCCTCCTCGTCCTCCCCCTCCTCTGCCCCGTCAGGATTCTGTCAATTCCTCCTCCTCCTCCTCCTCCTCCTCCTCCTCCTCCTCCTCCTCCTCCTCCTCCAACTCCTCCTCACCCTCCCACTCCCGCTCCTCTCTTCTCCCCTTCTTCCTCTTTTGTCCTCTCCCGCCTCCCTGCTCCTTCCCTCCCCCTCCTCGGTTCTCGGTTCCCCACAGCATGAAAGTCTTCCGACGTTGCCGCTTCCTCCGGAGCGACCAGGTCGGGCCCCCCTGGGGAGTAGACTAGAAAAGAGAAGACTAGGGACACGAGGCCCCGGGGCAGACAGCAGGGAGCGGAGAGAGCAGGGATCGCCATTCCCTCGGGAGGCAGAGGAGGGAGTAGCAAGGCGGCAGCGCAGCGTGGCGGGCCAGACAGGAGGGAGAGGAGAGAGCAGGAATCGCCATTCCCTCCGGGAGGCAGGGGAGGGCGTAGCACCAGGGCGGCAGCGCAGCGTGGCGGCGCGTGGCGGGAGGGGGCTCGCGAGGGCCCGCGCCGGGGCCTCCCTCCCACGGGTCGCGTGGCCCGCTTGGGCCTCCGCCCTGGAGGGCGCCCCGGGTCCCCCCCCCCCTCGTGGGGGGGGCCCGCCGGAGCTGGGTGCCCCCCCACCCCTCGTGGGTGTGCCCCCCCCCCCCCCTCGTGGGAGCCCCCTCCCCCCTCGTTGGGGTGCCCCCCCCTCGTGGGGGTGCTTCCCTCGTGGGGGTGCCCCCCCCCCCCCCTCGTGGGGGTGCCCCCCCCCCTCGGGTGGGGGCCAGGGTGGAGGCCGTCGGCCGAGTTGGAGAGGAGGTGGCGGCGCCGAGGTGGCGGGCAGCGCGGCTGGGGCGTGCGAGCAGCGCAGGCCGGCGGCGCGGAGAAGACCCTCGGGGCCCCTTTGGGGTGCCGCTTGCAGCGGGGAGGGGCCCAAGGGCCTCGCCCTCTGCCCATAGGAATCCCCCACAGGCGACCCAGGGGCCGACGGCGGGGTCCCTCGCCTGCAGGCAGGCGCGGGGTTTCCAGCACGTCGGCCTCTGGGCCGCCCTGGGGGGGGTTCCACCGAGCGCGAGGGAGGTTTGGGTCCTCCCCCAGTGGCAGTGGCGGCGCCGCCACGCTCGCCAAGGCAGATGACAGAAAGGCCTCACCCCCCCGCACATAAGAACCCCCCCTTAATTGGCCACCATCCCCATGACTGGTACTCGGTTCGGGGAGGGTACCCTGATGTTCGTCTTGTTCTGTTGGATGCTCTTGTGCATCCTGTGGAGGGTGCCATGGAATGTTCTGCGCGTTTTGGCCGGAGGACGGTCTCATGTTCTTGAGGTATGTTCTTCTGAGCTAGGCCCGACTGCAGAGGTCGGCGGAGTAGTCGACGTGTTTTGACGAGCGCGTTCTGGATTTGAACGGGCCGGTTTTCGTGGGACGTTTGCAGCGGGAGTTCGCGTCAAATTTCAGATTTGGTCTCGTCATTTTTCATGACGACGGCCAACCCGAGCCCCCCGAAGGCGAGTCTCGCGTCTCCCCGAGAAGAGCAGCAGAAGTCGGCGGAAGCAAGACGTGCGTGGCTCCGCTGGCGGACGCCCCCCCCCCGCCCCCCCATGAGATGCCGCTGTTGGGGGAAGGCGGGCTTTCCTGAGCGGGCTCCCGGCTGGCGGGCCGTCCCAGTCGTCTGCAGGGCAGTGGGGGCTCTGACCTCCATTCCGCAGGCTCGCGCTTCTCACGCTGGGCGTTCTCGTGCCCGCATCCCGAGGGCCCTCGCAGGTTCTTCCAGCCTCTGGGCTTCGGAGGTCTTCCAGCCGCAATGCGGGCCTCAGGCAAGTTGCGGAAACTTGCGAAATCTTACGAGATCTCCGAAAGGTTCCCCCTCTTGGGTTCAGCCATCATAGCCCAGCGGGTGCGTCGTCGTCGTCCTCGTCGTCGTCGTTTGGTGGTCGTCTGGTAGTCGTCTGGTGGTGGGGAGACGTGACGTTGTGGTCGCCGCCGCCGCCGCCGGGGGCGCAGTCGTCGTCGCCGCCGTCGCCGTCGTCGCCGCCGCCTCCGCCGCCGCCGCCGCCGCCGCCGTCGTCGTCGTCGTCGTCGTCGTCGTCGTCGTCGTCGTCGTCGTCGCCTGGTGGTCGTCGTCGTCGTCGCCGTCCGGTGGTCGGCGGCGCTTCCGGGCACGCCGCGGAGGTGAAGCTCACGGACTTTGGAATCTCCAAGGAGCGGCCGCGGCGCGGGCTCGGCACAGCAGCCGCGGTGCAGCCCCTCCTCTCTTGGACTCGAGCGACGAAGACAAAGACGCCGAGGACGAGGACGACCTCCGAGCGGCCGAAAGAGTATGGGCTATGCTCGCGCAGTTTTCGGCTGCCCAGTACACGTGGATTCTCCTGCAGCCGCCCTGGCGTTTGGGTCGGACCCGTCCGGGAAGCTCCGAGGGCGCAGGCGAAGGCCAATGGCAGCACAGCGTCTCCGCGGACGCTTTTTGAGGCCAGCGCGGGTTCTGTTCCCGCGCAGGTTGGGGCCACAGCCCAGCTGCCGCGCGCCCATGACCCCCCGGCGGCCTACCCTTCAGCCGCAGCAGCCGCATCGGGCACGCCAGCGGCCGCACGCCCGAGCAGGAGCACCGCGGCCCCTGCCCGCCGAGCGCGGTTCCTCGCGCGGCGCCCCGTGCAGCTGCACCCGCCGCCGCCGCGATCCCCCCCGCCCGCCGGCCAGGACGGCACGAAGCTGGCAGTCGGAGGATGCTAACTCAGTCCGCGCGGAGGAAGTGCGTGCGGGGTGCTCGGTCTCCGTCTGGTTTTTCCCCCGTCCAGGGTCTGGACTTCGTAGCCTCTCCTGAGGGGACGCCGTGCCCAGACAGTCCAGACAGGGGAGAGTCCGCACGGCGTGCTCGGCCTTCGCCCGGGCGTACTTGCGAGGTGCGCACCGGCCCCCGCCGCAGCGGCGGACGGAGCCAGGCCCGCCCCGGTGGGGCCGAGGCAGCGGCGCGGCGTGCTCGTAGCTTGGCGACGACGGTTGCTTGGCCTCACGGCCTCCCCCCGACGAGGACGAGGACGAGGACGACGACGGCGGCGACGACGGCGGCGACGACGAACACGACGAGGACGACGACGAGGACGACGACGAGGACGACGACGACGACAACGACGACGACGACGACGACGACGACGACGACGACGACGATGGCGGCCACGGCGACGAGGACGAGGACGAGGACGAGGACGAGGACGAGGACAACGACGAGGACGACGACGACGGCGACGACGACGAGACGACGACAGCGTGCCAGAGTCGCTCGGCGCTCGGTCGCATGCGGACCCGGAACCTCTGGCGGGCGTGGAGGGCTTTTCGTAGTGCCGCCCACCCTCCTGCTGCGCGTGCAGCCAGGGCGCTGAAGTAAGTCAAGCAGTTGCCAGGCGCCCTGGCCTGCCTCATAGGCCCACTGGAGAATGTTCCGAGAACCCATTGCGGTTTGCACGAAGTGTCTTCAGGTGATTTCTGTCTGAGACCCCTTTGTTTTATCACATCATCACGAGAACATCACTTCGCCCTTAAGGCATCTGTCGGTTCTAAGGCAATGCCACCGCAGGCCTTCAGGCATGCCGGGAGGGTCGGTCCCTGCTCAGGTTGAGACCTTTTGGGCTCAGGATGGGGCTTTGCTTCCCGCGCGTGAGGAGGCCGCGGCTTAAACTGACCCCCCCCTTCGCATAATTCCGTCCAAGAAAAGCCGAAATGTAGCCGTGCCCTGTGGGCGAGCAGCTTTCGCGGACCGCGCGACGCTCCTGGGATCCAGCGGGGGAGCACGTCCGCGACCGAGGCCCGCCGTGGCCGGCGGAGCCCCCTTGCCTCTGGCGCCCCCCTCGCGGCACTGTGCGGCAGCACGATGGGTGTGCGCCGCTCCGCCGCGCACGCGGCGACGACGACGACGACGACGACGACGACGGCGACGACGACGACGGCGACGACGACGACGGCGACGACGGCGGCGGCGGCGGCGACGACGACGACGGCGACGACGACGGCGACGACGACGACGACGGCGACGACGGCGACGGCGACGACGACGACGCCGACGACGGCAACGACGACGCCGAGGACGGCAACGACGACGAGGACGGCGACGACGGCGGCGGCGGCGGCGACGACGACGACGACGACGACGGCGGCGACGACGGCTCTCGCCCTGCGCTGGAGCCGCAGCGGGCCGGTCCCCTTGGTATCGCTCGGACGTGTGCACTTTTTCTCGGCGGGGGTCATTGAGGAGCATCCTGGATCACCCTGCGAAAAAGCCACGCACGGAGCCGAAGAAAAAGCACAGGGAATGGACGTCCGAGCGATGGCCAGTCCCGCGTGGGCAGTCGGCGCAGGCCCGCTCCACGGCTCCCTCGGCGGCGGGCCCGCCGCGTCTGCCCGAGGGGAGCGGGCCTAGGCGCGGCGCGGCGTGGCCAGGGCCGCGGCCGTCGAGGCACCTCGCGGAGGGCACGTCGTCCCTGGGGGTCTTGGCATCGCTCGGACGTGTGCAGTTTTTCTCGGCGAGGACCATCGGGGAACATCCTGGATCATTCCGCGGAAAAAGCACGCACGAGATCGAACAGCGCAAAGGGGAACGGACGTCCCAGCGATCGCGAGGGGTACGTCTGGGCCTGCAGGGTGGCCTTCCCGAGCTTTTGCGCCCTCGACTCTTCGGCCCATGCCTGGGCAGCAAGAGAGTCCGTCGTCCCCGCATCGCGCCGTTGTGCTGCACGTCGAGTGGCTTCTCCTCCGCTCGCCGCCCGCCGAGGACCTGAACAGCACCGTCGGCGTGGCGGGCACCTTCGTGGGCACCGCGAGCTACATGTCGCCAGAGCGATCGCTGGGCAAGGACTACTCTTTCAGGTCCCCGCCGGCCCATCTGACGGGGGGGGAGGGGGGTGGGAGCGTAGGAGCAGGACAATGGCGAAGGGGCGGGAAAGAGGGAGGAGGAAGAGGAGGAGGAGGAGCAGAAGGAGGAGGAGGAGGACCAGTGCAAACCCAAGATGCATCAACGATGTTGCAATAAACCTTCCCTCCACGTTCCTTCTTCATAGGTCCATGCAGCGATTTATTTCCACGTCTGGAACTGTTCTGTTGGAAGACAGCCGTCTGAGAACCCCCAGAGCGTGCCAACACACAGCGCACCATTCCTTGGACTTCGACGCCGCGCGTCAACTTGAATGTTGCGTCGCGACGGTGCTTAGTCGTGCCAGCACACCGTTCCCGGGGCTTCAACACCGCGCATCAGCGTGACTGCTGCGCCATGATAGCCCCACAGCGTAACGGGAAAGCATTACCAGGGCGGCCAGACATAAACATACGTCGAGATGTTCTCATGCTGCACAACGAGCGCGCGTGGCGCTCAGGCGAGAGCCGCGTTTTGAACAAGAACCGTCTTCGATTGGTGAGACATGCGCACCTTGCTAACCCTTGTCTGCGCGGCGTTAAGGCGAGCACCCATTTTGAGTACGGACCGCCCTCCATCCGTGAAGCTCTCTGCAGTGTTTTACGACTGCGCGCGGCGCTGAGGAAGCCACATTTGGAGAAGGAGCCACCCTCCGTGCGAGAAGCTCTTGCAGCGTTTTGTTTGACGAATGCGCGCGGCGCCGAGGCAAGAGCCACACTTTGAAAACGGCCTGCCCTCAATGCGTGAAGCTCTTGCGACGATGCAAACCGAATGTGAGCGGTGCTGATGCGAGAGCTACATGTTGAAAACGACCGGTTCTCCATCTGCGAAGCCCTTGCAAATTCGCACGACGAATTTGCGCGGCTCTGAGGCGAGAGCCACGTGATGAAAAGGAACCACCCTCCAGTTCGAAAACTGATTAAACTGTTATGACGAATGCGCGCGGAGCTAAGGCGATATACACATGTTGAAACCGCATTACCCTCCATTCGTGAAGCTCTGTGCACTTTTAACACGACTGTGTGCGACGCCATCGCGAGACCCCCATTTTGAAAACGGCCCACTTTCCATCCGTGAAACTCCGGCAACACCGTTCAGACGAGTGTGCGCGGCGCTGAGGCGGGAGCCTCATGTTGGAAACGACCCGTCCTCCATCCGTGAAGCGGTGGAGCCTACATCGCGAGGAAGCTTCAGGCGAAACGCCCCGCCTGCCCTACCGACACGTCTCGGGGTGCGACAGAGAGGAGCTGTTTGTCAGGGAAAGGAATGGAGGGAGGAGGGGGAGGAGGGGGATAAGGCAAGCTAGGCGCGCTCGCGTCATATTTGACGTCCTACCCGTCCCTCCCATCCCTTGCCACGGTGTTGATTCCCTCTCTGTCCGCACAATCGGATGTCGTAGCATGGCATAGCATTACATGGCATAGCATGGTGTTGAAGATCAGCGCGTAGTATGACACAGCATGGCGTGGCGACGCCCCAAAGTGGGGGGGGTGCTTCTGCGGCTCAAACAGTTCACGAATCGACGCCGCATGTGGAATCACTTCCGATGGTTGTTTCGGGGGGGCAGTTTCTAGATTTTGGGGCCTAGTTGGAAGAACCGAAAACCCTGCCATGGCATGGCGCTGGAAACAATGACGCCAGCGCTGCAGCTGGAGCACGATTCGGAACGAGCGGTCGCCCGAAAATGGGGCCAGCGCTTCAGCGAGAGCAGCGTTTTGAAAAAACACCCAAACGCGGAAACGCGGAACTGAGGACGCGTAGTTTGACAGAGCACGGCGTGGCGACGCCCCAAAGTGAAGAGGGGCTTTTGCGGCCCCAAAAGTCAACGAGTCGACACCGAATGTGGAATCACTTCCAATGGTTTTTTCGGAGGGGCATTTTCTAGATGTTGGGCCTATTTGGAAAAACCGAAAGCCATGCCGTGGCATGGCGCTGGAAATAATGACGCCAGCGCTGCAGCGGGAGCACGATTCGGAAAGAGCGGAAACGCGGAAATGAGGCCAGCGCTGCAGCGGTAGCACGATTCGGAACGAACGGTAGCCCGAAAAAGTGGCCAGCGTTTCAGCGAGAGCCGCATTTTGATATTGTATTTGTTCTACAACGAATAATAACAACAAAAAGCAAGACACAACAAATAACGCGGCAGCGCGGAAATAAGGACGCGTAGCTTGACACAGCATGGCGTGGCGACGCCCCAAAGTGGAGGAGGGGATTCTGCGGCCCACAAGTCAACGAATCGACACCGAATGCGTAATCATTTCCCATATTTTTGTTCAGGGGGGCATTTTCTATATTTTGAGACCTATTTGGAAGGACCGAAAACAATGCCGTGGCATGGCGCTGGAAATAATGACGACAACGTTGCAGCGGAAACACGATTGGGAACAAGCGGAAGCGCCGCAATGAGGCCAGCGTTGCAGCGGGAACGCGATTCGGAACGAGCGGTAGCCCGAAATTGAAGCCAGCGCTGCAGCGAGAGCAACATTTTGAAACAAAAGCACAAGCGAAAACCCGTTTCCAAGGAATCTTGTGTGTGCAAAACCAGTACGCGGAGAGGGGGCGAATATTTCAAGGACGCCACCAGGTGAGAGAGGAGAGTAGTATTCATATGGTGTAATTGTGAAGAGTGAGGGGGAAACGGGGGGAGAAGGAGGAGGACGACGACGACGACGAAGACGACGATGACGACGCGGACGAGAACGACGACTAGGACAAGGAGGACGAGGAAAAGGATGCGGGGAAGGAGGGGGGAACCGATTCGGGTGAGCTGGCCGAAAACGCACCGAAGTGCACCCACAGCTGAAACCGAAGGCAATGCTGATGTGCATAAACAAGGAGAGGTCTCACCCTGTAGTCTCCGTTGACAGCACATAGTTGAGCGGTGCTGCAGCCTCCCCTGAGCAGAACCCCCCCGGAGCAGCAACCCCCAAGAATGGGTTTGCACCCGCACGCCTTGCCGAGCTCCGGGCGCATTTTCACACTGCCAGTGCCGTCGCCGCCCTTTCGTCGGAGACACCGACGCGGGTGACGGTACCACCGAAAGATGAGAGGGGAGGAGGAAGAGGAGGAGGAGGAGGGGGAGGAGGGGGAGGAAAAGGAAGACGAGGACACTCAATCAGAACAGTGGTGGGCAAATTGGAACGGTGGAAATCGCCGGGTGAAAACGAAAAAGCACAGTGACAATGATAAACATAGCAAGAATAAGAGTTCTTACTAACAAACGTACGAAGCATAACAATATACTTCACTATCCGACTGACTGGCGGAACGTTGAGGGTTTAAGGATGGTTCATATAATGCAAGTATGCATAATCAGTGATAGTAATACGCATGGTCCGAACAATTCTGCAGCTGATAGGGCCTATGGGACTTACGCCGAATGCTGAAGTTTTCTCCGTAGTGATCCTCACATCACGAAACATTCAAGTATTCGTGCCCATGGAACGTGTATTTTTGTTGGAGACTATTGAGTACGAGTGTGGACCGCAAGCCGGAGGGGACCCGGCGAATTGGAGAAGCAACATGGGTCTTTTGGGACCATGCGAACATCACGAATCAGAGAAAATTTTAGCTCTTCTGTGCGACAATACTTTCGAAGCTTCTGTGCAATCTGGAGTCGTGTCGGCTTCTACAAACAGGCCGTCACAGATTGGGCAGTGTTCAAGCGGCTCGCTGGCGACAGGTTAGGGAAATACCTCACGCGTGCACGTCAAGGGTATCGGCTGTTGAAGTGAGGGCCCGCGCAGGCGCGCGCCCGCGAGCGTCGACCTACTGGAGAAGCAGGGCACGTTGCATTACAAGATGGATGTTCTTCCCGATGGCCATATCCTGCGTGACCTCGTTTGTGGGCCTCCACAACAAAAAAGAGCAAATCAACACCAATGCAGTGGCACCGCAAACACAAGCCCAGATGCCAGAGGCCCTCGGCCCTAGAGACCAAGGTTTCGACGCCCGCCCCAGCGGCGCTGCCTGCCGCGGCCCCCGTGAACTTTCCCATCGGAAGTCTAGGTGCGAGCTCGGAGTTCGGAAGTGGCCCGCACTTCGATCGGACGATGTCGCGGCCCATCGAGCGCCCACGCATGCGCAAGGATATCGCGCGGAGCGGCAGCCAAGCCGCGACGGCGGGAGCTGCCGTGAGCTCGCTCGCCCCATCCGTTTCAGGATCCAGAGGTGGAGGCTCTCTCTCGCCCGGCCCTTGCGGCGTCGATGCGAGGGTGTTTTTTTTTTCCATCGTGGCGATGCTCTACAGGAACGGGCCGACGGCGGTTGCCATGATCCGCGAGATGATTCGCCCGATCAGCCCGACGGCAACCGCGAGGGGGAGGAGGCGCTGCCGATCAGCGCGATGATTGACCCGTCCATGATCGAGGCGCTCGCGGACTGGATCAAGTAGAAGACCACCGAGCTCGCCGCGAGGAGGGCGCGCGGAATCGAGCGCGCGTCCGAGAACGCGAAGCAGCGGAGCGACAGGAAGGCCCCGAACGGCGCGAAGTAGGGGTGGGAGTCGCGGGCCACATGCGCCGTGCTGGAGGAGCTCGACTCGCCCAAGAGCGACCAGGAGGGCGCGCTCGACGACGGCGCGGAGAAGGAGCCCTGGGAATGGCCATCGCGCGCCATTGGCAAAGTCTCTCGACAGGCTAACGACCACCAGAACGCCGCGGCCAAGGAGGGCGAGCGGCGGGTCGGGCGCCGGGCCCAGGCCGGACGCGTCCTAGCGGCGGCTTTGCGGATGGCCGCCGCGCATCCCATCTGCGCGCGCGACAGCGCTTACCGTGATATCTCACGACTATGAGAGGAGTGCGTGCACCCGTCAGACGGTCGGGTCAGAGACCCGCCGGGGGCGCTGCCGCTCTCGCGCGTGCCCGAGCCCGCAGCGTCGGAATCGGGGCGGCCCAGGGTATGGGCACCTCGGGAGAGGGCGATCAGGGGCTGGGCGAACGTGGCTCTGGGGCCCTTGATGGCGCTGGCGACAGGCCACTGCGATCGACTTCGAGACACCGCGCGGGGCAGCGCGAAGAAGTGGGCGACGCGCCGCGAGTTGCCGAGGGGGATCTCCGAGCGGGCGCCGCAGCGCCATCGCGAGGCCCGCGACCTGAAGACGCGCGCCTCCGACGCCGAGTCCGCTTTCGAACGGCTGGCCCTGCGCGCAAAGCCCGGGCCTTGCGCGGCCGCGGCTGCGTCGGCGCGCCCTTCGCGAGCGGCGGGGCGCCTCTGCCGACGGCGGGGGCCGAGCCGTGCGACATCGCGTGGGTCTCGCCGACGGCCGGGTGCTACTTCGGGACAGGTTCTGGCCCTTCAGCCGAGCTAGGGCGACGAGGCCGACGCGGGGCGCGCGCGCCTGCGCCTGCCCGAGTCTCAGCCGCAGGTCGGCGCGGCAGGACTTCGCGGCTCGGTTCTGGGAGTCGGGGGCGCCGGTCGCGCGAGGCGGAGGCGGCCGCGTTCTGCGCGACGAAGGGGGCCCGCGAGGACGGGGCGCGCGCGCGCGCCGAGGCCCGCGCGGGACACGAGGCGCGCCCTCTTGGCGCTTCAGGAGCCCGTCCCACTTCAACCCGGGGCCCCCAGCGGCGACGGCGGAGCTACCGGGCGGGATCATCCAAGGCCGCCCATTCGCCGCAGCTGCGCAGTGCACTTGCGAAGTTGGCGCGAAAGGCGATGGACGCCAAAGAGGTCATCATTCACGATTGGAGAGTTCGCGAAGTTCGGGCCCCCCCGGAGAGACCTATAGCTGTTCTGGGCCACCGGGGAGAGATCAAAATGGCATCTATTATGGAAGGGAGTTTGGTTGTGCGAGGACCACGTAGACGCGCGCTAGATGAGGGCGGTTTCGCCCGTGGCAATGCATCTGCGCCGGTCGTCAATTGTTTTGTTCAGTCGCTTCCTACAGCCGTGCAACTCTACGGCGACAGTCGAGGCGGTGAGATACATGGGAAGCTCGCCCCGGAAGATCGGCGCGATCATTCTCGCGACGGGCGCGAGGCTGACACAAGGGTGGGCCCCCGCGGACGCGAACCCCGCAGATGGCCCCCGCCGCTAGGGGGGGCCGCAGACAGCGCGAGATCGCCGAGGCGAAGGCCGAGCAGAAGATGGTCGCGCGGCGCGACGAACGCCAGTTCGAAAGGTCGTTGAGCGACCAGACGGGGGCCAGGGGCATGCGCGACGACTGAGCCCAGGACGGGCATCTTTGAGCTCGTTCTTCTTCGCGACGGGGCGCCGCTGGGGCCGGCGCGGCTAGACAGGCGACCGCAGCGGGCGACTCGAACGAGTGGCGCGACGAGACCGCGGACAGCGATTGCGAGGACATGGACCTACCTTCAGGAGTGAGCTTGGCCACGGGGGCCGCGGATGCGCTCGAGTCAGAGAAGAGGGGCTCTGACGAAAAAAAAAGCTGTAAACACCCGGGCAGTCGCGCGTTGGCGACCCGTCGCGCCCGCGAAGAAGGAGGGGCCGATGGCTTCCGAGAGCGCCGCCGCTCTGGAGCTCGTCGCCAGGAGCTCCCTGGGCGGCAACGCGCCGGGGCGCCCCCTCAGGCCGCTGGCCCGCGCCGCGCAGGGCGACGCGAACAGCGAGCACATCGAAACAATGGGGCCCTTCTTGCGCGACGTGCACCTGAAGCGCCTACCCTTCTCAAGCCCGAGAGAGCGAGATTTCGCGGCGGCCGCCGAGCAGGGCGACCCGTGCTTCGCGGAGCGGGCGCGCAAGACGGGTCAGGAGCAAGGCGCGGCCACGCGCGACCGGGGGCTTGCAGCGGCGCTGGCGAAGCGCGCGGCCCACCCCGAAGAGCGCGCTCGCGTTCGACGCCGGCGAAGCAAAGGCGGGCGCAGCACGGCAACTGATAGCGTTTGATAAGCCAACCAGCTGGATCGGACCAGCGCACGCGCTGGCACATAGTGGACCGCGCCACGACATCCTGCGCAGAAGGCGATCCATCGGCGAGATCCAGAGGAGAGGCCGGTGGACACAGAGTAAGAGCATAGCCAGGTACACGAAGCCGCACTCGTTGATAGTTCCAACGCCAAGCTACCGCCAAGAGTGAAGCGACTGGGACGAGGAGCTAAACGTGATCTACGAGTTACCCTCCAGAGTACCCCCTCGAGCAGTCCGCGGAGCGCGGACGATTCGGCAGCCGTCCAGATCGTCGGCTCGCGCGGCTCCCAGGCCACGGCGCCCGTGGACGAGTCAGATTGAGATGTGACGGCTTCGCCCGTGCAGCCCGAGCCTGCCCGTTGCCCCGCTGGTCTCTTCCTTCTCCTCCTGCGTCCCTCTCTCGTTTTGTTTATCATGCAAAAGCGCCCCTCCCTCCAAGGGCGTGCCACGGGGGGTGGCCAATCATCTCAGGCCTTCTCATCTCTCCGTCTTAGAATACATGTGTGTTACGGGCTTTCTTAAGATGCCTGCGCATAGGCCAGTGAGCATCCCATAACCAGCGTTCATATTTTTGAAATTGACGCTGCGTTTATGGCCTAGACTCCCCCCATAGAGGCTATGTGGGACAGTGGGGGTGGGACAGCGAAGAGCGCGCTCAGAGCTGCGAGAGAACGTCCATTATATATGGGCTCGAGCTTCCCGACCCCCCAAGGTTTTTGTTTTCGGAGTGCTGGCCCTCGACGGTTTGAGTTTCCGGGTGCCCTGGTGACCCAGGGCCTTCGTGCGAGGCCCAGTTGCCGCCGTTGGCGGCGGAGAAACTTTGGCGTGGCGTGCTGAGCGTGCCGCGGTGATCATGTCTGGCCTCTGGCCTTCTCGTCGCTCCGTCATAGAAAAGATTTTGCAGGATCCTGCAAGGCCCGACCTGGCCCGGGTCTGGATCGAGTCAGGTTCGTAGGTCCCCGACCCGGACGAACCCCCAGAGGATGCGCGGCGCGGCCTCCTCTGGGCGCCCGTCGGGCGGGTGGCGGGGTGTAACAAATGGGCCCTCTGGGGGCCCCTGTTGGGCCCCTACACGTTCCGAAGGCGGCCTCCTCCTCCTCCTCCTCCTCCTCCTCCTCTTCCTCCTCCTCCTCCTCCTCCTCTTCCTCCTCCTCCTTTTCCTCCTCCTCCTCCTCCTCCTCCGCCCTCTCCTCCTCCTCCTCCTCCTCCTCTTCCTCCTCCTCCTCCTCCTCCTCCTCCTCCTCCTCCTCCTCCTCCTCCTCCCCTCCTCCTCCCTCCTCCTCCTCCTCCGCCTCCTCCTCCTCCTCCTCCTCCTCCTCCTCCTCCTCCTCCCCCCTCTCTGGCCACCCCCCCCTCACTCTTAACCGCCCGATTGGCCTCGTCGGGCCCGCTGGGGCCCCCTTTGGAGCCCCTGCCGGCTCCGACACGGGCCCCTCTCTCCCCCCCCACCCCTCCGCCCCCGCCCCTCCTCCTCCTCCTCATCCTCCTCCTCCTCCTCCTCCTCCTCCTCCTCCTCCTCCTCTCCTCCTCCTCCTCCTCTATTCCTCCTCCTCCTCCTCTTCTCCTCCTCCTCTTCCTCACTCCTCCTCCTCCTTTTCCTCCTCCTCCTCCTCCTCCTCCTCCTGGCTCCTCCTCCTCCTACCTCCTCCTCCTCCTGTGCCGCGCTGTGGGCCCGGCCGCCTCCTCCGGGCGCCCTCCTCGCCTGGGGCCTCCTGGGCGCCCCCCCCCCCCCCCCCCGCGAGAGAGGGCAGCGCGCGGCCGGCGCCGGGCGGCCGAGGTCCGACGTGTGGAGCGCGGGGATGGTGGTCTACGAGCTCGCCACCGCGCGGTGCTTGCTCGTCTCGCGTCGTCGTCGTCGTCGTCGTCGTCGTCGTCTCGTCGTCTTCGTCCTCCTCCTCCTCCCCCTCCTCCTCCTCTTCCTCCTCCTCCTCCTCCTCCTCCTCCTCCTCCTCCTCCTCCTCCGCCTCCTCCTCCTCCTCCTCCTCCTCCTCCTCCTCCTCTCCTCCTCCTTCCTCCTCCTCCTCCTCCTCCTCCTCCTCTCCTCCTCCTCCTCCTCCTCCTCCTCCTCCTCCTCCTCCTCCTCCTCCTCCTCCTCCTCCTCCTCCTCTCCTCCTCCTCCTCCTCTCCTCCTCTGCGCGTGGCCGGCTCGGCCACGCGCAGGCCCTGAGATTTGGGCGTCCCAATTTTGTCGAGCCGGTCGTTTTCGTTTTTTGTTCGGGCCCCAGGACCCTCGCAGATCGATCCGGTGTCTGGGGCTCTTCTGTTGCATCTTCGGGGGACTTCGCCAGTCCCCAAAATGGGTGTCTTTGGGGGGGCCCGACGCGGGCTCGATGCGGACTCGACGCGGATTTGGCATGGATTCGACGCGGATTCGACACGGATTCGACACGGATCCGACGCGTCCGACATGGATTCGACACGCATTCGACGCGGACAGGGCCGCGATGGGACAGACAAGGTCCCCCGAGGATGCAACATAAGGGTTTTGGGTGTGATTTCTTACGATGTTGCAATTTCGCTACGTCGGATCTCAAGGGAGGGGGGTGCAGTTAGACGTTGAGACGGACCGCATTTGGGTCAGGAGGGGTCCGGTTTCCGGGCCGTTCCTTAGATTCGTGTCTTGGAACCTGTTTGCGGCTTAGGCTCGCCGTGGCCAGAAAACCTTTCGTCCCTTATGACAGCGCGATAACTCTACGTAGGCCGGACGGGGCTAGGGCGAGGAAGCATCCGTTCCAGAGTGTTTTGGAACGCTCTCGGAGAGTTCCGGAACGCGTTGAGAAGGCCGCGGCGCCCGAGGTTTCTTCCAGAGCCGTCCGATATGAGAGATTCTCGATTTACCCTCACCAGATTTTATCATCGTCCTAGCTTCGTCTTAGCAGGGGGAGGGGGGAAGGCTTCTTGGAAACACTCCTGCTTCTGAGATGGCGCGGGCCTTGTCCATGGATCTAGCGCCAGCGCCTCCTAAGAAGCAGCCATCCTCTAAGAAGCCGTCCCCCCTTCCCCCAATACCCCCCCCCGTGCGCGCCGCCAAACGGGGCGGAAGGGCCAGGTTGTGTAGCAAATCGTGGGATCCTTGCGTGCCCTCGCAATTCCGTCTTTGGGGTTCACTGGCGTGCGGAGCCGTCTGAATATCGAGGAGAAGCGCCGATCTAGCCCTGCAGCTGGGCTTGCTCAGCTGTGCGTATGATCACTTTGGTTCAGTCTTGTAAGTCGTGTATAGGGAGGAGCAGGGGGGCGAGGAGGAGGAGGAGGAAGGGAAGAGAAGAAGGCGGGAGGAAAAGGGAGGAGGAGGAAAAGGGAGGAGGAGGAGGAGGAGGAGGAGGAGGAGGGGGAGGAGGAGGAGTTGGGAAGAAGAGGAGGAGGAGGAGGAGGAGGAGGCGGGATGCACGCGCCTGTCTGCGACTAGAGGGCAGGGGGCCAAAACCTTGCAGAGCAGCACCTGGCGTCCGAACACGCCCACGTCGTGCAGGCACGGTGGTGGATTTGGGCCGCATGGGGCGCCGCTTGGGGGCTCGCGGTGGCCGTCTGGTCGCCCTCCTGACCTCTGGGCCAGCAGCGAGGGCCAGCAGCGAGGGCCAGGAAGCCCACGAGGCCGAGTGAGCGCCCTGCACGGTGCGCCCAGGGGGGCCAGGGAGGGGGGTCCGAGTGCGCTCCGTCTGCCCCCCCCTCCCCGGCGATAGAGCAATCTAGAGCGGGAATGCGTACACAGTCGGGGCCCTGAAGAAGGAACCCTTTTCGTTGGGGAGGGGCTCCGCGTTCCTTAAGTGTTTCACAGCTTGCCTCAGGTTTTCCTTATGTTTTCGATCGGAAATCGAAGTTTCACTTATGGAAGAAGGGGCCTCGTTCCTTATTTAGGGTTCCGTAGGTCAACGCCCCGACTGTACATGTGGGAGGTTCTCCTTTGTTGCCGTCATAAAGATTTCCTTTGGGGTGTTCCCGGGTCGCCCGGCCGGTGCCGGGGGGCGTGGTTGTGGCAAGAAGGAGTGCCGCGCGTCGAGACATTCTCAGAATGCTGAGGTGGTCCGGCCCGTTTCGCTTGAGACATCCATCCTCGCAACTCCGGGCTCCCAGACGCCGCGTGAGAGGTGGTCCAGCCAATTTCGCCTGGGTCCAGCCGCGTGATTTGAGCTGGTCCAGCCCGTTTCGCGTGAGACATCCTCGTAACTCTGCGCTTGGAGATGCCGCCTGCGAGCCGATCCGGCCAGTTTCGCCGATGGCGTCCCCGCAACTCTGGGCACAGAGATGCCGCATGCGAGGGGAGCAACCGCTGAGGTGGAGTGCGAAGGGAAAGAGGAGGAGGAGGAGGAGCAGGAGGAGGAGGAGGAGGAGGAGAAGGAGGAAGAGGAGGAGGAGGAGGAGGAGGAGCAAGTATAGTGCTCGTATGACTGTCGGGCGAATACTTTTGTCTCCGATGCTCTCGGGGCGCTCCTCGTCGCCAGGGCTGCGCGCGGCTCGCTCGTGCCTTTTGATGGTGCCCAGCACTCGGCAGACCAAGGTGGTTTCCTCCTCCTCCTCCTCCTCCTCCTCCTCTCTCTCCTCCTCCTCCTCCTCCTCCTCCTCCTCCTCCTCACGGGCCCATTCGCGCCCAGATTGTGTGGACGTCTCGAACGGTCCGTTTGCTTTGGGGAGGTGGACGTAGTTTCAGAGCCGCATGGTCCTCGTTGGCCGCTTTGGTCAGCGCTCGGGGCTGTGTCGCACCCCTCCAGGGCGTCTCATGCTTGGCTGGCGGGGGGGCGAGGCACCTGAGCCCAGGTGCTCGGGTCGCCTGGGGCAGCCCCGGGCAGACGCGGGCAACCCCAAGGGGCGGTGCTGGGGAGGTGCCCGGGAGGGGTTGCCCTCAGAAGAGCTCGGTGCGCCCCATGGGCCACGGAGGCTCCGGCCCGCTTCACTTCTGACATCCTTGGAGCCACGGGGTCCCAAATGCCCTGATTTGCGGCGCTGTGGCACATCTCGGCTGAGACATCCTCACAACTCAGGGTTCCAGCATGCACTTCGCGAGGTGCTCCGGAACGCTTCGCCCGAGACATCCTCGGAACCCCAGGTTTCGAGATGCCCTGACTTAAGGTGCCCTGATCCGTGTCGCCTCCCGAGGCAGCTTCACAACTCTGGGTTCGAAGATGCGGTTCGGGAGGTGCTCGGGCCCGCTTCGCCTACGTAAGACATCTCGGAAACCCTGGGCTGCGAGATGCCCTGGCTTGAGGTGATCTGGCCCGTTTCGCTTGAGACATCCTTACAACTCTGGGATCCACGATGCGGTTCGCGAGGTGCTCAGACCCGTTTCGGCCGAGACCTCCTCGGAACTCGGGGTTGCGAGGTGCCCTGGCGCGCTGGCCTACTTCGCCAGAGACATCCTCGGATACTCGGACCTCTTGGCTCCGACGGCCAGGGCCGCGCGATTCGGGGGATGCCATCCCACCCTCGGGAAGGCCCTTGGCGGGGCCGTGGCTGGTACGAATCGTTTTTTTTTTCTGAGGATGTACGCCTTGTGCGAGCATGTGCGGATTAACGGAAGCCTCCTTGATCAGGGATTATCGGAGATATCTTCGCGAGAGTGTGTGGCATGTGCGTCAAGATGTTCACGCTATTGAGTGGGAATTCGCCCTTCTGGAGACGTATCAGTACTAGCATGACCGGGATGTCTGTGCTCTACGCTCGACATCGAGGGAATTCCTTGCCGGGGTTGCCCCCGGTGCAGGGGGGAGCGGGGGACCAAGAGGCCGGTAACAGAACAAACGGGAGCCCGACATGTGTATATACATACGTATGTACATATGTTATATATATATATATATATATATATATATATATATATGTACATATACATACACCCTTAAAATACGTATGGAAAGAGCATACGGGCTAGCTGGTTTTGTAGTGTTCGGCACCACCCCCCCTCCCCCCTCCTCCCCTCCTCCTCCACCTCCTCCTCCTTGCTTTCCTCCTCCTCCTCCTCCTCCTCCTCCTCCTCCTCCTCCTCCTCCTCCAGCCGCCACCACGGCTGAAGGTCGAGGGACACGCGGCCCTCCCACCCTGTTCCATCGCCCGCCAGGGGAGCAGCGCGCGATGCCCACGCGCCCGCGGGGCCCAAGAGGCCCATGATGGAGGCTCTCCTCTTGCTCGCGGCCGTCGGCTTCTCGCCGCGGGCGGCCGCCTACATGTCGACAGGCGCTTGCCGCGCCCCTGGACGCACTCAGGAGCGAGAGCCTCAACCTGCTCAGCACACCAGGCTCTACGTGTACAACCTCTCTACTTGACGGGCAACACCCGCGCGCAGGAGATCACCTGCGAGCACTACATGGGCGTGATCCTCTTCCCTGGGACGAGCCGCCGCCCGACACTGGACGGCCGCCACAGCCTCTTTCAGCACGACTACCACTGGGAGCTCTCCTTCGGCTGGACCAACAAGAGTTGCGGGGGGAACATCTTCCTACATCAGCGGTTTCCGCAGGCACACCTACGTCGGATCTACCCTCCGCCCGCGGCGCTCTCGGGCCGCTGCGGCGCGACAGTGCCGCTCCTCGGACGTGCTCCTCATGGCTCGGCACCTTTCCGTGCCATCCGAGTCCTGCTCCAGCCGCAACTCATACCGCCAGGTGACCCAGGCTGTGATCTCGTGGGCACGCACCACGCTGGAGTCTGTGGGCAGTCGACGCACGCCCATCAGCGGGGCGGACCTCAGCTCGGCGACTCCGTGGACGAGACGTTTCTCGGCTCCCCGTCCCTGCTCGAGCCCGACTTGTGGAGCGAGGTCGACAGCGCCGTGGGCCCCTTCCTGGAGCTGGAGGGCCTTTTTCTGGACGTCTTTGGCAACGGTTCCTCTCGGACCACGACACCTTCTTTGTCAGCGGGGACACCTACATCGGGGCGCACGGACGGTCACGCAGGATCGACTTCCTCCACGCCCCGTGCAAGCGCAAGGCCCCCAGGGGAGCAGGGCGCCGCCTCAACACATTGTACGATCGAGACCACCGCTCTGTCTTCGCGGGCGACATCTTCGAGGCCCACGCGCAGCACACCTGGGACTACGACGCGATCATGCTTCGTCTGGAGGGCGCCCTGAAGTCGCGCGACCTGCAGCAGGCGGTCACGTTCCTCCCCAAGATGGCGCGCCAGCACGCCCAGCAGCTCAGGGACCTCGCGGCCTCGGAATGGATCAGCATCGTGATCCCGCCCACGGCTACTTCGATCGTCGCAGCTCGGGAAGCGGGCAAGATGTACGCAGAGGCGGCGCAGGTCCCCGAGGCGAAGCCCCAACTCACCACATTTGTACATCGCTCACGCCGAGTTCAAGTACCCGTCGGCCTCCGTGGAGCAGGAGGCCCCGCAGGGGCACGTGCTCCCGCGTACCTTCTACCAGCAGTTCGTTTGCATGGGGACGGGCTCGGAGCTCTGCTCCACCTCAGGCTGCGCACGCGCCACAACGACCGGTACACCAGGATGCAGTTCGCTAGCGCGGACCAGATCACACTGAAGAGCGTCAACCCAGACGGCCCTCGGGAGACATGCCTCGACGTTGTGGGCGGCCGCCAGAAGATGGGGACGGCCCCTCTGGGCCACCTGGAATCGATGGCCCAGAAACTGCTAGACAAGAACCGCCAGATCCACTACGGCCAGAAGGGCTGACATGGGTGGCGGATCCTACGGAAAGAGATGGGCGACCAGCACACTACGTGACGACGTGAGTCCCTCTAGCAGCTCCGCTGTAGCACCAGGCCCCTCTAGTCGCTCTCGCCGCCCCTGGTCTCTAGGGCGCGCCGTCGGCTCTTTTTTTCGGCTGTTTTTTTTCCTTCTCGGGGCCTCTTGGGTGTCCAGGGAGCCTGCTCGGTGCTCCCCGCGCCGTCGAGCTCGGCCCCCAGGGGCCAGAGGGGTATCACGGTATCACCCCCCGCCCGCGGGCGCCTTCCTGTTTCCTGTCCTGCTCGGCTCTGATCAAAGGTGATCACAGCTGCACGGCGCGCCCACACGCCTGACCTCG